CTGTAGCAAGGCAGGGCACTCACCGGCACGGTGCCTCCTGCTGGTCCATCCGGGAATTAGCTCATCCACCTCCAGAGCGCCCTCTATGGGCCGGTGTCTCGCCCTCTGTTATCTGCCCCTGTTGTCTCCACCACCTCTGGCCCCGTGTCCTTCTGTGACCCCGGTGTCCCTTACCTTGGGGTGCTGCCCCACAGCAGTGTCCCCACACTCTGGGTTTCCCCTCCCACGGGAACCCCCAATCCCCTATACCCACCTCGCCTCTGGCTACTGCCAGTCGTCATCTAGCTCCTTCACTCAGGGGCAAACTTCAGTCTGTAATGGCCACTCATCACTGGCAAGGGGGTTGGAACTGCTGCCTTTCTTGCCCTGGCTGCCTTCCTGCAGCCCTAGTACCTCCTCAGGCCTTTGCCGCAAGGCCTCAGCCTGGGAGGTCGCCAGGCCAGAGCTCCCCAGCTCAGCCTGCACCTTCCTGGTATGCTCTGTCCAAGGTACCCCTGTCTTTACCAGGTACCCCTGTCTCTAGTCTGGAGCAAGACTAACTTCCTTTTCCCCAGGAGCCCTTCTTATACTGGCCCAGTTGGGCCCTGATTGGCTGCCTCAAGCCTTCTTGTGATTGGCTTCCTGGGGCAGCCTTTTCCCGGGGCTGTTTTTTTAACCCCTTCCAAACCGGAGTAGGGTGTCTGCCCTGCTACAGACTCCTCTAGGTATGTTTAATTACACTTCAGGGCAGCCCAAAATTACACTGGCTTGAGGTGCAGAATGGGCCATCTTCAGTCCTGGCTCAATGATAGGTTTAAGGTCCTTTCTGTTACTATCCATGAGGGCCAGAAATTGGATCTTTATAATAATCGAAAGGGAAACTTACCTGCATGCTATTTTCTATCTTGATTCGAACAAAGGAGAGGATACTCCGATAAAGAAGGAACATCATCTGTTGAGACCAGCAGTTGCCTGGGACTGCATCACCATATTAAAGATGGAGAACAGCTGCAAGCTCCAATATTTTATTCAGCTTTCATGGCACCCTTGAGCCCTTGCCAGGTGCTAGGGCATCCCTTAGTGTGGCGAAGCATGAATATTTTTCATAGTTTTTCTCATATTTCTCAAGAGAGCAAGTCTTTGAAATCAGTAGAATTAAAGAATTTTTGTCAATCGCAGCCCTCAGAAACAAAGGCAGCAGGTGGAAGCTGTTTTCCCCAAAACTGAGGGGTGTGAGGGAGAAAATGGAGAGGTATTGTGAAAGCTTCTCTGTATAATGTGCTCTGATCAGAGTTCACCCTTGTGTGTGTGTGTGTTGGGGGTGGAGGTGGCTGCAGTTACAATAGCTTCCCCAGGATGTAAAGCTAACTAACTCCACCTTTCCAGATTTAAGGGCAACGTTTTTGATTCAGAAGTGGTCACTGATGAAGCACCAGGCGGGCCAGGAGGACCAACCCTTATGACGAATGGCACTGGCATGGGGCTAAGGTAATCTCTCTCATTTTCTTTTAACCATTAGCAAGTACTTCTAAGTGTTGGTGTATTTTCTTCCTTCTCAAAAAAGATGTTGTTGGCTGCCACATGCATATTTTTGGTCTGTACTTCTATTTGATTTGGGTTAAATGCTGCTAACCAGGAACGAACTCATGAAATAGTCTAGATTGGTCTCTAGCAAATTTATATATAACCAAAAGAAAGGATGGTCTTGTGGTTAAAGCACTTGACAGAGACTCGGGAATGCTGGCTTCAGTTCTCTGCTCTCTTGCTGACTTTGTGTGTGACCTTGGATCATGCTGCAGGGCTATAAAATTGTAGGCTGGAGCCCGGACTCTGGAACCCTCCTCCATCAAGGGGTCCCAGAGCCTGTATGTCTACACTGCAATTCTATAGCCCCACAGCCCAAGCCATCTGACACAGGCCATCCAGGAGTGTTTTAATGCAGTGTAGATATACCCTGAGTCTCTCTGTGCCTCAGTTCCTCATCTTTATAATAGAAATGATGCTATCCTTTGTGGTCTTGTCTTTTTAGATTGTAAGCTGTTCAGGCCAAGGACTGTCTTGCTAGGTGTTTGTACAGTGCCTGGCACAATGGGACCTTGATCTCAATTGGGGCCTCTAAACACTACTGGAATTAATATAATTAATAATTGTAGATAGCTGTGGCATTTCCCTGTTACTGGAGGAAGTCTACAAGGGCACATGTGGTCGATCTCCGTCTTAATGGCACTTCTGGATCACCTGGCCTTTCCTCACTCCCCTTCTAAGCAGGAAAATCTCTTTTGCTTCTAAAACTGTTCCCGGATACAATTCCCCTCTCTGGTCTCTGACCTGACTGACAGTGCAGTGTCCTGCCAGAGGTTAGTCAGTTTGGCATTGTATATCTTTTGGCCCTGAGGTGTTGGTCAAAGGCTGTGTGTAAGATCTCTTCTCAGCAAAGCAGGAAGGAGAGAATAAAAAAGTATACAGGCCTCTCAGTGCAAAAGAAATCCTCTCTCACTGTTTAGGGTGCTAAAGCAAACTGCTAGACAAGAACTCTAGGTGTCAGAAGTGTCTTCCTAGCGGTCAGTCCTCTCCTCCTACCTTCACACATTGACTAGACATTGTAGATTAATAAGGGTAGACCCAGGCTCAGCAGTGTGTTGGCTCATCCCCGCCCTGACCGAGAAAACCGAGAAGTCTGCTGCTTGCCAGGAGCTAGGATTGATGATGTGACGGAGAGACTGCCGAGACTCATCAAGCCCTCGGATCACTACCCCTTCCTGCTTCTCCACGTGGGCACCAATGATACTGCCAAGAATGACCTTGAGCGGATCACTGCAGACTACGTGGCTCTGGAAAGAAGGATAAAGGAGTTAGAGACGCAAGTGGTGTTCTCGTCCATCCTCCCGGTGCAGGGAAAAGGCCTGGGTAGAGACCGTCAAATTGTGGAAGTTAATGAATGGCTACGCAGGTGGTGTCTGAGAGAAGGCTTTGGATTCTTCGACCATGGGATGGTGTTCCGAGAAGGAGGAGTGCTAGGCAGAGACGGGCTCCACCTAACGAAGAGAGGGAAGAACATCTTCGCAAACAGGCTGGCTAACCTAGTGAGGAGGGCTTTAAACTAGGTTCACCGGGGGAAGGAGACCAAAGCCCTGAGGTAAGTGGGGAAATGGGATACCGGGAGGAAGCACGAGCAGGAGAGTGCAAGAGGGAAGGACTCCTGTCTTAGACTGAGAAAGCGGGACAATCAGCAAGTTATCTTAAGTGCCTATACACAAATGCAAAAAGCCTGGGAAACAAGCAGGAAGAACTGGAAGTCCTGGCACAGTCAAGGAACTATGATGTCATTGGAATAACAGAGACTTGGTGGGATAACTCACATGACTGGAGTACTGTCATGGATGGATATAAACTGTTCAGGAAGGACAGTCAGGGCAGAAAAGGTGGGGGAGTTGCATTGTATGTAAGAGAGGAGTATGACTGCTCAGAGCTCTGATATGAAACTGCAGAAAAACCTGAGAGTCTCTGGATTAAGTTTAGAAGTGTGAACAACAAGGGTGATGTCGTGGTGGGAGTCTGCTATAGATCACCAGACCAGGGGGATGAGGTGGACGAGGCTTTCTTCCGGTAACTAGCACAAGTTACTAGATCGCAGGCCGTGGTTCTCATGGGAGACTTTAATCACCCTGATATCTGCTGGGAGAGCAATACAGCGGTGCACAGACAATCCAGGAAGTTTTTGGAAAGTGTAGGGGACAATTTCCTGGTGCAAGTGCTGGAGGAACCAACTAGGGGCAGGGCTCTTCTAGACCTGCTGCTCACAAACTGGGAAGAATTAGTAGGGGAAGCAAAAGTGGATGGGAACCTGGGAGGACAGTGACCATGAGATGTTCGAGTTCAGGATCCTGACACAAGGAAGAAAGGAGAGCAGCAGAATACGGACCCTGGACTTCAGAAAAGCAGACTTTGACTCCCTCAGGGAACTGATGGGCAGGATCCCCTGGGAGAATAACACGAGGGGGAAAGGAGTCCAGGAGAGCTGGCTGTATTTTAAAGAATCCTCATTGAGGTTGCAGGAAAAAACCATCCCGATGTGTAGAAAGAATAGTAAATATGGCAGGCGACCAGCTTGGCTAAACAGTGAAATCCTTGCTGATCTTAAACGC